GTCCTTACCACATGACGCATTAACTTTGCTTGTTTTTCTAAGTAGTCCCCACAATGATGCAGGTGTTTGTGTCAACAATGTCAACATCATCGCCACACGTCAGCGGTGCACAGTTATATTGATTAATTAGGCCCCTTAAGAAATTTATTGGGTAAATGAGAAAACCGTTTTTGAACCCTATTTTTCACATTTACGAATTGGTTTATATAAATTTTAATTGTAGAACATTTCTTTGGTGGAATAAGTTATTCAACACTTTTAAGAGATTTGTTGACAACATTTATCAGATAAACATTTTCTTATTTTCAACTCTGTGGCGTTAAAGAAAATTTATAATAATTAATGCTGAACCAACCTATAACATAAATCAAATAATATTTATCACGAAAGTAATTATCAAGTATCTATTTGTTGAAATGTTTTTTAGATACTAAAAGCTCATCATGCCTAAAAATAGTACTGTAAATAAGCATAACGTAGTACTAAATAGTAATTTTTGTTTGTGTCACTTTAGTACATTATTTAAAATGCTATGCCATACATATTTTTAACAATATTGTATAATAACATAGGTTTCTCAAAAAAACTCTATTTCGAAGTGCCAAAGTTCAAACGATCATTAGATATGTGTCAAAATGTAAAGATGTTCCGACTATTTTTTGATAACTTTCAGTTTTTGTAAAACAACTATTATTAGTTTCAAAGTTATGGATGGAAAATGATAATTGGCTCTTCATAGAAAAAAGTATCATTGACCAAAAATATTACTTGATTAATTTTATATTAGCTGTTCATCAAAAAAAAATCACTCATGATTTATTGGTATGCTATATCTAAATGTTACTCTCGAAAACAAGAATCGGTGATCAGTAATCAGTAATCGGTAAAAGCCAAATAAAATCAACAAAGACAATTGGATAGACAATTAAATGAAATGGAATACAAATAAATAGACTTTAACGACAAACTGCCAAAATTAGATTTATGTGTATATTGACGTAGCCTATATAGCGAAAAAGTTTTTATCACTATACAATATGTGCTGAAATACCTCAGTGATATAAATTGTTCTTTTCACAATACCGTCCCTTTGAAGCTCCAATTGATAGCTGTTAAATTAAGTGTCTTCAGCAAGTTTTGTTCGCCAACTTTTTTGTCAAGAAAATCGTTACCGATAGTTAACATATGCTGGTGGAACTGTGTAGTTATAATGGTTATACTGCAACACAGTTTTTGTTTAAATGAATTGATATTTCATTTTTGAGTCCATAATTTGTTTTTGTATTTTATTTTAAATCCAGGTAAGGCGTATTCGTCGAGATGGTTATCCTGTTGAAAAGCACAACGTACAAACCAAAGATGGCTACATCCTAACTCTCCATCGTATACCATATTTACATCCCATACAGAAGACAGTGCTGCGTAGACCAGTAGTATTCTTACTTGCTGGTATTTACGCGTCCTCAGATGCTTGGCTGCTAAACGGACAAGAGAACTCCTTGCCATATTTACTTTCAAAGAGCGGATTTGACGTTTGGCTGGGGAACAATAGAGGGAATATATATTGCAGGCGAAATATCTGGTATAATACTACAGACCGTGAGTTCTGGGATTTCAGTTGGCATGAGATGAGTGTATACGACATGCCAGCAACGATCGAGTATATTATTAAAAAAACTGGTGAACCAAAAATGCATTTTGTGGGTTAGTATTGATATAAAATATATTTATTACCATTCACTCTTTAAATATTTTATGTAAATATATATATCTACTGTTACCATTTATTTTACAGGCATATCTCAGGGAGGCACGGTCTTTTTAGTGCTGAATTCTATGCTTCCACAATACAATGCCGTTTTTAAGACTGCCACTTTGTTAGCGCCTGTAGCTTATGTGAGCAATACAAAAGGCAGCTTAGCAAAGGTATTTGGTCCAATTTTGGGCACACGTAACTATATCTCAAAACTATTAGAAGGTGTTGAAATGGTGTCAACGAATAAAATAGTCAAGCAATTTTTGTCAATGGCTTGTTTGGAGAATGAAAGGCCTTCAGTTTGTGTAAGTCGTTTATGGCCGGCTGTAGGTTATGACACTGAACATCTTAATAAGGTAAAACTATATATAATATAGTCAAATATATTAATGTATTATATTAATGGTATATCAGAATAAAATATACTCTTTTTTACAGACTTTGTTACCAGATATTATGGCAAATTTTCCTGTTGGTGGTTCCTTTAAGCAAATTATGCACTATTTTCAAGGTTATGTTTCCACAAAATTTCGCCAATACGATTATGGTCCCGAGAAGAATTGGCTTATGTATCAACAATTGGAACCACCTGAGTACTGCATGGAACTAGTTACTGTTCCCATCACAATCTACTATGCAGAGAACGATTATATTGTATCTGTGGAGGATATTTGGAAACTTATGTTACGACTTCGTAGTCTACATGCCATTTACAAATTACCATGGAAACGTTGGAATCACTTTGATTTTATATGTGGCTTGGGTGTGCGGGAATTCATATTCGATAAGATTGTTAAGTCGCTTATTACTTATGAGTACAATTAGCCTATACCATGGGGGTACAAACTTAAACTCAATACAAGAAGTCATAGTCATTAGTTAGTTTAAATTCATATTTTTATTTTAATCGAATAAGTGTTCGTGTGCAAAGTACAAGTAACATTTATGACCTAAATGCATAAATGTAAAAATTTAATCTTACCTATAAGGAATGAGTGTATACTATTTGTAATATTTATTTTAAGCTAATTATAGAAATTAAGCCGAAAATAAAGACCAAATAATGAAATACGTGATGTAAGTTATTATACCTATAGATGAAATTTACGAAATTAAAAGAAAAGTGATGACGGTAAGTTGAAAATGGAATAAAATCGTATTTCTGTGGGCACTGGCGATTTAATAGGGTTTTAAGATTTATCAACATATGAGTACTATTTATTTATTATTAGGCAACTTGTACAATCAGTTTATAATCAGTTAGTGATCAGTTTATCCTTGTCATCAATATATTTGTATATATAATACAAAAGAATATACAATATATATTCCAACTTCAAAAAATAACAGAAATGGTGTAAAATGAACCATTGAAACCCGATCAAATAAAGTTCGTCATCGGAACAGCTGTGAAACTAAACAACTTACCATCTTTAGTATAGGACAAGGTAATTAGTAAAGATAGCTAATAAACGTTTAAAAGTGACACGAAAAAAGTAACTTTGTACTTGGAGTGGTTAGATGGTTAGACAGAAGATTAAACCAAGTACCTGAGAAAAGAAAGACAAATCTTTCGTCAATCTATGAGATCGTATAATCTATGATTGCGGAGTAAATAAAGAAATAACAATTAATGAAAGTCTCTAATTATTTACATAAAACATATAAAATTTTATTTCCTGAATAAATTTACGTAATTTTACTATCTCTAGTATTGAACTTATAAGTGGAACCAGCCTATAATATATATCAATATATATCAGATTATATATGTGAATATATATGCGCATATATAGTAAGAAGAAAAGTTTTTGTTTCGATATGTAGAATATATTGTCAGAGATTTGGAAAAATTAAAACTGATCGTTAAAATCTATATAATTAAGAATAGTTTCATATATATGTATAAGGTACGAGAAAAATGTAGAAATTTTAAAATAGTTCGACTTAAAAGATATTGTTCTGTGTTTTATATCACAAACCAAAAATATATCTGTCCACCTGTTTTGCTTAAATTGTAATATTAATGAAAAAACTAAAGATCAAAGTTTAGTTAGATCAGACTGACAAATATATATAAACAGATAAATAGTTCTTTATTTTCAGTTTTTTATTAAAACTACTTTTGGTTCTATAATATAACTGATAACTTTTTAGAATTATTATTATTTGCAGTATTGAAGAACTTGAAGTTTTGAATTCCATATTTAATTTTATTTCAAATAAAATAATTCAAGTTAATAGCTAATATGAAAATACCATATCTGTGACAATATTAAAAAAATCTATATTTTATAGTCAAATAAGTGGTACAACAGCTGTCACATTACACACAATTTACGATTAATTTTTTCTTTTAGAATAGACATGAGAATCGATAGTCCTGATTACTAACCTCGTGCACATTTAGTAAGGTCTCAAAACATTGTAAATCTTTTAGAATAAAATTAAACAATATAATATCACATTGATAAGTTTAGTAGTAGCTGCCAATACTAAGAATAAGAATAAGAAAGAACAGGGAACTAGCTCCCATTTGAGCAGAGCACCGCGACCATGATTGATCTTTTGTGCTACAACAGACCCTAACTGAACAAAAGACATTCCGCCTTTCGAATGAAGGTCAAAATGTAGGTTGTTGAGGACCTCCTAATGTCGGAAGGTGAGTTCCCGACCCAGTGTTCTCCTCCTGGCCCAGATCAAGGCTGGGCAGTCACATAGAATGTAGCTGATTGTCTCTGGTTGTCTATTTAGCTGCCAATACTAAATATAAAGGTAAAATCTTTTTTCACATAGCAATTCGAAGACTGGTTTTTATAGACAACTTTAATAGGATAAATAGAGATTAATAGAATCATACTCATAACTTTAATAATAACTTCTAGCTTAATAGAAACTTCATTTAAACTTGAACTATCAAAAATACTGACAAACCGTACTGTAGTTAGAAGCTAAATAATTAAATAGAACACAGAATACGCAGGAATGTCGAAGTCAAGGGATATTAGGTAATACACTCCTCAGGCGTGTTGCCTAAAACTATACTACATTTAGTTTTTTAATATTATAACATTAATTTAAAAAGTTATAAACATATTATATGATTTAAAAACACTTCGATAGATTGTTGACCATTAAACGTGGCCACTTTGTATACAATTAATGACTACTTTTCATAAATACTTTATAAAATACATTTTTATACATGTTTTGAAAAATAATCATACATAATTTGCCACTTGAGATAAGAATAAATTATATTTATGTGAACGAATTCCTACACTAAAAATAACCGAAATTGATAAAATAATAATTAGAAATATTTACGCACTCCTGATATATGTATGTATCCGAAATGCTTGAAGTTATGATTGTTCATATAAATTACAAGCGTTAATTATACGATCGTTAATCATCTCCTTAACATGATTAGACCACACAAAATCACTGTGAGTAAAAGTTGGATCTGGTACATGAAACATATTTGGTTCTTTACTTAATTGTGCAGCTAAATATTCAACGTCTATTTCCGAAGCCAACTGGTCTTCATCAGAGTAGTAGAAATGTAATCCATCTGGATCAATATTAGCTAAATTGTAATCTGGTGGTGTACTTTGACCATATTTCTTTAAATTCTCCTTCTGTCCGAAATCCAATTGACAAAAACGTCCTGATTCATATTCCTGCATATAGTGCAAGACTTGCGTTGAAGATGCTCCTGCTGGATGGGTCTCATTCATACGATCACTCACTGTCTGTGAAAACATAATAAACAAAATATTAACATATTTTAGATAATATTTTTGTCAATAAAAGTTTTTTAACACCACGAAATTATTTAACACAAGAATTCAATAATACACAAAGGCACTTAAAATGATTATCTTCACTATTTTTAGAATACTTATATTACCAAATTCCATAGTGCTATAATCTTATCGACATGTCATTGAGAATTACCATATTCATATTGCTATCCCTGCCCAATTCGCCATTATATAAAGTAAATAAATTTTTGCACATATACGCCAATTTTGGATCCTTCATACAATAGATATCATATATATTTTTAAAGAACAATGTACTAGGCAATATTTCCATTGTGTCAAACATTCTTGTCAACTGATTTGGACGACCAATAAATCTTCTCGTATATTTAGCTAGCACTGTTTTCATGTTACCCATAAAAACCACAGGTGCCAATAAGTGTGCAGTTTTGATTTTTTCATTATATTCCGGACGAGATGACATTAGCACAAAGTAAACAGTGGTACCTTGTGAGTGTCCAACATAATGCGTTGCTGTCTCTCCAGTAGTCTGAAGAATATGATCAATCATCGCAGATATGTCATTAATACCAATTTCATGCCAACTAAAACGCCAGAAGTATGGATGTAATGTTGATAAACGGGTATTATTACGTGAATAACGATTTCCACGAGCATTGCCCATCCATACATCATAACCTGCATCAGCTAAAAGAAATGCAAGTGCGTCATTAGGTCCACTTAATATCCAACCATCTGAACAACTTAAAAGACCATGTTGTAGAAGAACTGTTGGGCGTTTCTCATTTTGGTTGTTTAGCTTATGTGAATAGGGTATGCGAAACATTGTTATTACATAGTTGTCGATAGTTTCGACTCTATGTGTTTCGCCTGGATATCCATGTTCTTTAATCCGATCTTCCTATGCATACGAAAAAAAATATTTTCATTAAAATGAATTTAAAACAAATTTTTAATTTACTGTTGTTTTTAAAAACTCGTCTTCCCAGCCATAATTTAAGGGATTTCCGATTATAAAAGGACTTCTTGCAATAACTATAAGTAATGTATTTAACAGTGCGTATGTCCTCATACTGCTTGAGTTACTAAAAATTTTGTTCAGAATTGCAATGAATTAAATATTTTCAAATTCTTGCTTTCAATCTACAAGTGGGGTCTTTGATTAGAGCCTGATTAAAATATCTTATCTACCAGATTAATGCAAATTGTTAATAAAAACAAAATAATTAATTTTTAACGCATTTTTTTTCCTAAGTTTCTATCAGTAGTAAGGAACGTGAATGGTTAATCTTTATTATATATACTAAATAATATATAAAAGTTTTTGAAAGTACGCATTTTGGGCAAAAAGTGTTCGGCGTTTTTCTGTGACGTAAATTTGAAGTACAATGATATTTTAATAGTATAATATTAATAATAATAATATTATTCTACAATATTTATAGAGACTATAAATTAGATTATTTTTAAATAATTTACTAAGATTGGTAATTCCCATTAAAACTTATTGCCAAACCAAACTAAAAAATTTTAAAAAAAATCGATTTATTTTACAATTCTACTCCGATAAGAAAAAGAATACAACTAAATAAATATCAATATTTGCAATACCTAAAATAAGATTTTCCCTATTAAGAAACCAAAATTCGAAGGTCGTTCGTCGGATTTGCCTTATTTTCACTTCAGCACAAATAATCAAATGCATTGTTTTCCATAAATTAGAATGGGTCAGTTGATTTCTTATAGCACAACCAATTTAGTCTTTATGTGTTGAAGATTTCGATACTGATCAGATGTCGTAGCTACTGATCACACTGATTAGTACCTCGCAGAAAACCTTCATTAATGTATGGAAAAAGAACAAAAAGATAAACTTGTGAGCAGTTATTGCGACATCACTGAGCAACTGAAGCTCGATATTTGGCTGCTTAATAAAGTAATTTCGGTAATGAAACAGAACGAAATAGATTAATTTTTGAAGAATTTGATATCTAGGCGTTTGTACTGTTTAGACTTCTTTAAGATTTTTGTGTTCAAATGTATGCATCAGTTGCAAAGTAGAAGTGTACACCAAAATCTTACTAATGCCTAGCTAATGTAGACGCGTGTAACATGTAATAAAAAATGAATCATATACAATCAGGTTTTGTATAAAAGATGTACGTCAAAATATAATGCAACTGAATAAACGATTCTGAAAGTAATGCTGAAATTAATGACGATGCGGATAATGCTATATGTTTGTTGGGAAAATAAGAACATTATCTGTTACGAGCTATTGCCTACTGCCCATATGATTGGATCAATTCTCTAATGTCAACAAATATCGCGTAAGTAAGAATTTAAATGAAACTCCCTGAAAATATTCTAGAAACAATGAATATATTTTCACAATAACAATACTAGACCCCATATATATCGAATCCAAAAATACCTTGGCTAGAAAATATTGATGATGATGTGCTTAGATTATTTATTTGATAATTGTAATATCCACTCACTAATGGTACTAAGTCACTGAAACTTTATTATATTAATGTAATGAAGTCTTAGTATACTTCAGCACAGGTTTTGTATGTGCTGTTGGACAATTGTACAGATATCGAATACTTTTCTTGGGCACGAAATTTTTTTAAAATCCCATTTTTTAAAATTTATTATTATATTTTTAATATTTTTTATTATTATTTTGAATAAATTCACCTCTTTAAGCTGGCCACCAATTTTGAATGAACGGAAGTTGGCTGACGTTAAGTATCCAATTTATGCATGAAGCATACTCATCTTCCCTTAGCTTTATTGTAACTGGAGTCAAGTATATTCCCTGTTTTGCTTTTGATTTTAAGTTTCTGTGACTAATCTCTTCCCTTAAGTAAAATTAGATATGAACACTGAAATAATATAATAACAAACTCAAAACATCCATAGCAATGTTATCTCTATCAATTAATGACTATAAACAAACCTTTTCAGACATTTGTATTTTTTAGTATCAATAAGATTTTCCAGATAAGATTTAAGACTTACTACCTATAGAAACGATTAAACTTTTTTTGATAATAAATCAAAATAGTATAACTTAAATTATCTTATAACTTGATACTATTGATAAATTTTGAATTTGATATGATTAAGAAAAATTTATTTTATGTTAAAATAAAAGCTTTTCATTATAAATTTGCTTCGACTTGCTCGTACTTATTACAGAAATTTATTATTTTATCGTTCATTTCTTCCTTTACTTGATTAGCGAATATAAAATCTAAATGGCCCCATGTAGGATTAGGTACTTCGTAAAAATGTTTTATATTTGACAAATGTTCTGGAAGTCGCTGAATATCCTTAGCATTAGCTGAAGTATCTGCTAATCCATAATATATATACATATCTACGACAATATTTTGCAAATTATAATCTGGTGGAACTTCTTGACCATAGCGTTTAAGATTCTTTTTCGGACCATGATCAAATTGTCTAAAATGATTTGACACAGATTCCTGTATATAATGTATGCCCTGATTCGTAGATATACCAGCTGGATGCGTTTCTGCAACTTGTGGTAATAAAGTCTATAAGAATAAAAACAATTAGGTACTATAAATCTACAGTATAAGATTTAATTCAAAAAAATATCTTCATAAAGATGATTGCTACCTACCACATTTAGATTAACTTGTTCAGTGCCAGCCCACAATAAGAATAATGTTTGGCAATACTCTGGAAATGTAGGATCTCCACCACAAGCAGTATCTAATATACGTTGAATGAAAGGGTTACTTGGCACAAATTGCTGATTGCCTAGTAAGTTAGCACCAACACCTGGTGTACCTACATATGGAGATAATAGAACCACAAGATCATCAGTACAGTTTCCCATAAAAATGGGCGGTGCCATCATATGAGCTGTTTTTATTTTGTCATTATATTCTGGTCTGGTGGATGTCATAACAAAGAATACAGTTGTACCCTGTGAGTGGCCAACATAATGAATTTTACTTTCTCCTGTCAAATCCAGTATATAATCGATCATAGTGGGTACATCAATGTTACCAATTTCATGCCAACTAAATTCCCAGAATTTTGGATGGTTTAGTGATATTTTTGTATTGTTGCGGCAATAAATATTTCCACGTGCATTACCTAACCAAACATCGTAATTTTCATCAGCAAAATTATAAGCCAAAGCATTATCAGGACCATTTAGTAAATAACAGTCGGAACAACTGAATTGTCCATGCATTATAAATACAACTGGCTTAGGCTTATCTTTGTTATTCAATTTTGGGGAGTATGGTATACGAAACATATTCAACACATAACCATCTTTAGTTTCTACGAAATGTGATTCCGCTGGATAACCGTGTTCCTCTATACGTTCTGCCTATATCAAAATGTAGCATCATTTTATATACTTATATTTTATTCTGTGGTACTTACAGAAGTTTTAACAGGTTTTAAGTGTGGCAGATCAATATAGGGATCATAGCCAAGACTTGCTGCCAATGTAACTGCGATTAATGGTAAAAATATGAGCAGCTGTCGGAACATTTTGATTTAGTTTCGTTCAGTGCGAACTTTAAAGAACTACTAAACACAAATTTACTATATGTACAATCAATAAACCGCATGGCTAATACCACTTCAATTGGATTTGTATCTAATCTTGAGTAATATAATCGCTCTTTACGCACTTAAGTGCCTACTACATTTTCAAAAGTAGTAGTATTTTAATTAGTTCAGATATTCTTAAACAGTTTTGTTACGATTGTTTTCAATTTTTGCATTTACTTAAAATGTGTGAAAGAGAAGGTTATAGAAATTTATTCTTAGACCAATTATTTTATTAAATACAAATATTTTATAAACAAAGAGTAAACGTAACAACTATTAATACAAATATTTATTACTTCAAAATAATTATTTATTTACTTTAATACACATCGCCCTTTTCATAGTCATTACAGAAATTTATTACTTTATCATTGATGACTTCTTTAACTTGATTAGCAAATATGAAGTCCAAATGACCCCATGTTGGGTCAGGAATTTCATGGAAGAATTTTATATTTGGCAAGTATTCTGGTAGACGGCTTACATCTTCTGCATTTGCAGAACCATCAGCTAAACCGTAGTACAGATACATGTTTGCAACAATATTTGTTAAGTCATACTTTGGAGGAGTTTTTTGATTGTAGCGCTGTAAGTTTTTCTTCTCGCCCCAATCGTAGTACCTAAAGTCATTAGTTAGGTAGGATTGCATGTAATGTATACCTTGGTTAGTAGCTATACCAGCTGGATGAGTTTCGGCGAGTTGAGGTAGTAGAGTCTAAAATAGATGTTTAATAAAAATTATTTTCAAAACGCAGTAATAGACAACCTCGGCACAATAAATTATAGACTTCACATATATTATCTTTAGATAATATATCTAAATCTATTATCAGATATATTATCTATAAAATAATGCAAATTTTTGATATTTTAATATAAAATTAATATTAATAAAATAAATTATAAGTATTTTTTATTTAGATATTTTATATAATATAATAAAAATAATCATAATTTTTCAATTATAATTCTTTTAAAATATAAGCAATGGCATTTCTTGTAGAATTCGATAGAATAAAATACAATCTTTCAACTTTCAACCCAATGTTAGAAGTTGCCTTAGTCTAAGATAATTTTTTTTATCATCAACACCTTTAGCGTAGTAAAAAAAAGTTATTCAGTATATTGAAATTTATCAAATTCGCTTTTTAAAAAGGACACCCGGGAAATCGAAATCTACAGTATGTATGTCCGTTATGCAGATACGCGTAAGGAATCTTCATAACTTTCTAAAAATCAATTGTATATATTAATATACCTTGTTCTTTTTCTACTTATTCATAAACTTCTAAAGAATACAAGAAATTAAAATGACTTACCGCATTCAAGTTTCCTTGATCATCTCCAGCCCACATAAGAAACAATGTCAGACAATATTTTGGATATCTGGGTTTATCACCGCAACCGGTATCTAAAATACGTTGTACTACAGGATTATAAGGAACAAATTGTTGACTCTCTAAAAGAGCTGCACCAACTGATCCGGGTATAGCTACATAAGGTGCTAATCCTACAACTAAACCATCAGTAACATTTCCCATAAATATTGGAGGAGCTAACATATGTGCCGTTTTTATTTTGTCATTGTATTCTGGTCTTGTTGATGTCATAACAAAGAATACAGTAGTGCCTTGTGAATGTCCGACGTAGTGCACTTTAGATTCACCTGTCAAATCGAGTATATAATCGATCATAGTCGGTACATCTATGTTACCAATTTCATGCCAACTAAATTCCCAGAATTTCGGACTATTTTTAGACACTTTAGTATTTTCGCATGAATAGATATTGCCACGTGCATTTCCTAGCCAAACATCATAATTTTGATCAGCAAAATTATATACTATTGAATCATCAGGACCATTTAACAAGAAACAATCTGAGCAGCTAAATAATCCATGCATTATGAAAACGACTGGTTTCTGCTCATTCTCATTATTAAGTTTAGGAGAATATGGAACTCGAAACATGTTCAATACATAACCATCTTCAGTTTCCACGAAATGGGATTCAGCAGGATAACCATGTTTTTGTATACGGTCAGCCTATAATTTTTAAATAATTATGAATATTTGCAACCATAATATATTGTACGTTTTCTCTATATAGAACTTACCGATGTTGTGATATCTTTCAACGGTGGAGTGTTTATATATGGCTTATAATCAAAGCGTCCTGCAGAGACAACTGCCAGAACCGCTAATGAAATAACAAGCTCGCGAAACATTGCGTATAGTACTTCTGTACTGTAGCAGCGTAAAAATAGAACTTACAACCGAAATTCGAATAGGAGTCGTATAAATAGTCCACTACAACCAAGTGGGGTAGAAATATCTAATCTCTAAACTTTTTAACGTGTGTTTTTGGTTGATATATGATATAAGCGACTAGGTGGAAAGTTGGATTATACCCAATGAAAGATAATGTACAAATCATAATTCATATTAAAAATAGACATTGGGGAAATTGATTTGGTAGATTATAAAAAATAACGCAGATTTTTTTCAATGAAAATTTTTTTTAATAGTCTTTATCAAAATTTGCAATATTTAATATTTATTATAATATTTATAATTTAGTGCTTAGCACAGTTTTCTATGATAAGGTCGTTTAAGACTTCTTTCATACCATCAGCCACAATAAAATCTAAATGATTCCATGAGGGGTCAGGAATGCGATAATCTTCAGTTAAATATGGCATAGCCGCAACCAACGTATCAACGTCTGCAGGAGCACAAAGTGCATCATTTTGACTTGAATACAAATAGGTAGGTGCAGTAATTTGACTTAAATCATAGTCAGGTGGTGTAGGTTGATTGTAGGTCTGTTGGTTCTTTTTCTCTCCCATATCATAATGCCTGAATTTGCCAGAAACATGTGATTGTATATAATGTATGCCTTGGTTACTTGATGATCCAGCTGGATGAGTTTCGAGCAACAATTGCATTGATGACTAAAAATACAAATATTCAGTATTTATATATAACATATAATAAGCAATAAGGTGATTTATAATTCAAAAATTTGATTTTTAATGTAGTGAATATTCGGGCTAACCAAATAGTTGGTTTGAATATTGATAAATATTTATTATCTCAGCTCTTTGGATATACGTATTGATTTTATTGTCTATATATAATTTTTTGAGCTGCAAGTATCAGGAAGCGAAGCCTGTTAGTCTGAATACTGGACTCGCGAATTGTTGGCACAAAGCCAACGTAAACTTAATTTGAGCCTTTCCAATCTCGGGTTGTGCCGAATTTTGTTGTTATTACAACTATTACTATTAACTATTGTTTGTATAGAACACTAAAACTTGTAGTGCAAAAAATTATATGTGAACAATAAACCAATGAATGTTTTCAAAGATCACTGATAATGGATAATTGGGTGTATCCGAAACATTTGTTTGGCAAATCTTATAACTCGCCTAAATAAAAATAAAAATTTTAAGTTTGAATATTTCCTTACTATGATCCTCATTTATAATCGAAATGCAATTCTAATACATAAGTAAACTTACGATGTTTGTGTTTTGGTATCCATCACCTATAAATCGTAAATACATATTTTCACATAAGTGCGTAGCGATTCCTGCTCCACCACAAGATGTATCCACCATGCGATTAATGAGTTTGTTTTGTGGCATCAACTCCAAATCTTGTAACATACTTTCCCACAAAGTACCGGGTGTACCAATCAGTGGTGCAAACAGTGCAAATACAGGGGATGTGCCATGTCCAAAGAAAGCACAAGGAGCTAACATATGAGCAGACTTAATTTTACTATTATATTCAGGACGATCTGACATAAGCACAAAGTACACTGTAGTGCCTTGCGAGTGTCCAGCGTAATGCAGTTGTTTTTCATTAGTTGTTTCTAGTATATAATCGATCATAGCTGCAATATCAACAACACCAATTTCATGCCAACTAAAATGCCAAAACTTCGGATTGTTTAGTGATATTTTGCTATTATCTCTCGAGTATATATTGCCACGGGCATTGCCGAGCCAAACATCGTAACCAGCATCAGCAAGCAAATAAGCCAATGAATGGTCGGGTCCACTGGTTAGCCAACAATCCGAATTACTCAAAAGTCCATGTTGTAGTAATATGACAGGACGATAAGCATTTTGATTTTGTAATTTATGTGAGTACGGTATGCGGAATAGATTGAGGATGTAACCGTCTTCAGTTTCAATGAAGTGTGATTCAGCAGGATAACCGTGCGATTTTATACGCTCTTCCTGCAGTTGAAAAATGTTTATTAATTCTTTTTGACAAAAATCGTCAACTTACCGAAGTAGTGAACTTTTTTAAAGATATTTTTGGTAGAGACCTCTTTGCCAAATTTGGCACCGCAAATGTAAATATTGCGAAAAGTAAACAAAATAGCTTAAACTTTGTTTGCATGTTGCAGGTGTAAAAAACCGTCTAGCAAAATTTAAGTAAACTATAGCGACACCAGTTTTTATACTTATAGCTTATCAAACGATAATCTGTAATCTGGCAAAGACTGCCAGCTTTATACATTCCATAATGATAACTTATCTTAAGATATTTTTGTTTTATTAAGATTTTTGATTTAAATTCACCTATAGGAATCAGGAATGAATAACATGGTAGTGCGGAGTCCATATCTACATTTTTAAATACCACACAGAACTAAATTTAAAAACATTGATTAATTGCATTATTAATTAAAAGAGACTCGGTTAGGATGACAAAACAATTTATTTCTTTCATTTTGCTTATTTTAGAAATTAGCACTTTTAATCTAGACAAATTTAGTTAGACCGGATTTTATGATTTATTATACAAGATATATTAAAGTAGTATAAAAATTAATTTATTAAATTGACGTTGTTAAAAGTGAAAAAAACTTTATTTTTGTTTTTTATCGGAACAACAGTTTTAAGAATTAATTTGTTAATTTGTTGCAGCCAAAAATAATATATTATGACCAAATTTACAAGTATAGTGCGTCCAAATTATATGTATAAACAGAGAAAATAAATACGTCTGATTGATTCAAAATTACAGGAGTAAAGAAAGCAAAAATTAGTTGAAATTAAATCCATTAATTAGATCTCATATAACATGAATGATTTAAAAACAAACATGTAGTATCGTAACTAAAAATTTACATTTATATTTATGTATGTTATTCAAGAACTTTTTTCAAATTTACAATCTGAAACCAAAAAATACAAATTATTAATAAAAATGTATTAAAAGTTACTTTTCTAATACATACATTTTCCTGTTTTAATATCTACATAAATTTTAAGTGCCATCGTTTTAGCGATCACTACCGGATGCGTACAAGTGTTTAGTAGTCTTGAGGTACCATCGAAGTCACCTTGAAGTGCGAATGCAACTGCCAAATTGTAGCGAACAACATTTTGTGCCGCTTCCAATGACTTAACTTGCCAATCTTTTGTTTCAAAATCAAATGCATTCAACCCATTTACAAATTGTGGATCCAAGTAACTGCGAGCTTCTCCAATTTTATCCATCATTATCAGTGCCTGCCCAGAGTATAATTTCACTAACATTCTGAGAGACAAAGAATTTAATTTATAACGAAAAAATTATTTAAAACAACTTGTTACTTATGGGCATCCGATAATTTTTCGGACTTAGAGCACTCCCTTGCCATTTCCAAGGCAGTAACGTAATCACCAAGCCGTATCGAAACATAACTATAAGCAGTATAAATTGCTGACAACATTCTGTCCAAAGCATCTTTTGATATAGGTGCTGATGGTGTACAAAAATTATTATCAATGATTTCTTTCCAGTTTTGATTTTCTGTACCGCCACCCTCTTCATTTTGTTCACTGAAACTGGACTTATAAAATTTCGTTAACGTTAGAGCATTGCGTAAACAAAGTATGGCGAATTCCATGGTAGGTTCTGGTAATACGGCACACTGAGTACTTGGACTAAAATTCACCAAATTAGAATTATCAGTACTGAAAAAATACAAGCTTGATTTTACTCACGGATACATTGTGCGAGGTGTTGGTTTTAAAATATATTTTCTTCTCGAACCAATATTAACAACCGAAGAGACCATCGGTTTTTTATCTTCAAGTAGAAGTTTCTGAAATATAATTTGGACACCCAAAAATAAATGCTGTTTGTATGCTGTATGCTGTTTGTGGTTAAAATTATTTACCATTTCATGTTCCATGATACATGCTTCTGCCATACGCGTCCAAAATCTTGGATTACTGTGATAAAATTTCAACGGCACCAAAAAACACTGGAATGCTTCTTTTGGCCGTCGTAAATGCAGCATGGAAATACCAAGATTATATAATATTTCACAAGATCGGGCAGAACTAATATCATAAAGTGGTATATTCCTCATATTGGAAGCTATTTGTTTATCGAAAGTAATGGCATTTTGAAAAAACTTAGCTGCTATGGCGTAGTGTCTCACTCGCAAATGTATTATGCCCATATTGTTCGCAATACACGTCTTCAAAATATCAGTATCTGTGCTGAAATAAAATACTTCTTGAATAACATCTTAAGTGATAAAATGGAGAAAACTTACTTATTCTCATTGCTTTCAGTGTTGATGATTTTTAATTGTTTTGCAGCCATTTGAAAATCCTTCATAATGTAGTATTGTCGTGCTTTCAAAGCTGAAAATTCTAATGACTATAACACACTGTCGTATAAAAAGCGATTATGAGTGTATTTAAAAGAAATAGTTACCCCATCATCCGGAATAGCAACTGTCCTGCGGTTCAATACGTTTGTGAGCATTGCCAAAAGTTTGAAATCCTCTAACAATTGTTTATCAGTAAAATTTTCATCAGGTAGTAATGAATCTGCGATCCGTGGAAATTTGATTTGTAGTAAGGCTAGGAAATGTTGTGCTCTATTAAGTTGTTGAGAAGCAAGTAGCAATCTTAACATTAACGTACTAACAAGTAGAGCAAAGTTTTCTTCAAAAGATTCTAACTTCTCCACAACAGGCAATAAATACTTAATACCGGTCCGATGCAGTGAACGATTATAATATATAATTGCTTTATTATAATTCGCTATGGGAGTGAAACAAACTCCTGATGAATTCAACTTTGCATTTTCAATCTGTGGATTTTGTATAAAACAAAAAAAACATGATAAACATTGTGCGGAATATAAAATTGAAAAAATAGGGGTATAATTTTTAGGGGTATTCACGATCTTAAAAAACGAGCTAGACAAACGAGTAGTATAATATCTATGCAAAGTGCTAAAAAAATACCTTTACTCGATATGTGTCTTGCTTACTATTTTACTAAGTTATCGATATCGTTATTTGAGATCTTGAACACCACTAATGGTTCATAATCAAGTTAATTCCTGTGCTGACCATAAAACTTTTTCGGATATCATCACATATTCATTGCTTGATTCATTGCTATTAATCGTTTAATTAATTCATTAGACAATATCTTTTGGAGTTTAAAATTTACTCACTATTCTTTAAAGTCTTTACTAATATATTTTTGTATTTTACATTAATAATATTCTACTCATATGAATCTAACCCCTATAACTACTTTCCATATCTTGAAAATATGAAAATAAAAGGATAACATTGTTGTTAAAAGGTTTCTTGACATAGATCTGGTCACTGTAGAAACCATGAATAACATTATTGGAAAATATATAAGATGACTAGTAGTTTACAATAAAAGAGAGATAAAGAATTGTATATTAGTGGAGTTGCAAACAGTATCTTAACTTCTTCCTTTGGGCGCGAAACTGGAAGAAGCTGAAGAATCTGGAAGTTTTTCAATTAGTAGGTAAAACCAAGCCAGCAGACTTGTCTAGAAACGATGGTTCAAAGAACGTCTAGATGTCAAATTCGTCGATACAAGCAAATTCCTGCGTTGGAACGGTTTATGTTAAAATTCAACAACATAAAAGGACGTTGAAAAAATTGAAATTGCAATCAAATGGCTAAGAATTTTCATCTAAAAAAAAATTAAGGGAGGTATCATTAAATCTTGCTTTTATATATACAAAAATACTATATGGATATTACAGATATATAAGTTGAAATAAGTACTCTCTGTATCAAGTAGAAAACCGATGATGCACAAGATATGCATTTATTTGAGTTGTTATGTAAATGTAATATACAGTATTACACATAAAGGATAAAGCCCTGAAACTACGTATTTACCAACACCGTTTTATCGATTCTCAGAATGGTTACAGGCTCCTAGGGGAGGTATGCAGATCTGAGGTCAATTACTGCTTAGTCTGATGAATAAATAAACAATAATCCAGTCAAAGCTTAAAAAGGGGTTATAAAGAAACCTCGCAGTTAATAGAGAGTAAAAGTGCTCAAGTGCACTGGCTCAACTAGCCTCAACATAATAGTTACAGTTTTTATTTTATTATAAATAAGTTTTATATTTATTTTTTATACAAAGTTGTGTACATTTGATATCAAAACACAACATTGTACATTTAAGGTACAACAAATTGCTGTATATTAAGTTGAATCAATATATCTTTGTATTTTAAATGTCAAAATTTTGTTTATATGGGGATGGCATGCACATCTCAATATTAATGTATATATAGTTTAAGCATAATTGTTAATATTAACGTCAAAAGACTTTTAACCAATTCAAATAAAAAAAAAAAAAATTATTTAAGTTAGTAATAATGTCAAATATATAATAAATATTAGTATTAAGGCTTTTAATTCTGTATAGTATATGTAAATATGCCCCACAACAGACTATGCAGTACTCAAGCAACTAGATCGTACCCAAATTATAATAAGCAGCAAAATGTACAATCCGGAACGTCATCGGGTGTGATGGAGCCATTGAACTCAATACGTGAAAGATATCAACGTGGTTCGCAACACATTCACAACAAAGTTCGTTCTGATTTAAAACAAAGCATGGAAAAGGAACGAAACAATGGTAAATTACTTTTTTAAACAAAATTAATTTATTTAATTATATAGTATTATAGTTGAGAGAAATGTTGATATGTTGTGCCAAGCTAAGCAAATTTTCCAAAATTTTACTGAACATGTTCGGAAAAAGGATGAAATCATTAAAACTTCAATGGAAAACTTAAGAACCTTAACAAAACAATTAGAACAGTCAGCGAATGATCCAAGGAAGAAACATATGGAACAACGTTTAACGCAATTATTAACTAAATTAGAAAACTGATTCCATTTGTAGAATAACTGAAGTGTATTACCTCTTCCTCGTATAATTCATTTAATGTTTTTAATAACTCTTGAAAATTAATTGAGTTTGATTTTGAAAATGCGATCACAGCACAGTTATGTTTTATTTTCGTTTTATGTTTGGGACTTATGTTTTCGAGCTCTCTAAGCGTGTTCAAGGATTCATCGTACTTTTCACTGAAAAGAAAATTTTATTTAGTTATATATTGTCTGTTTTTAAATAAGATTATTTACTTGTTATATTCCACATATGCACGTGTAAATAATTCATTTTCTTGGGTGCTATTGTTTTCATCTAACATTTTTAAGAAATAATTTTGTCTTTAGAAATATAATTGCAAACAATAAATTTGGTGCTTTTAAAACAGATGTTTTTAAATTATTCAGAGTTGCCAGGAGTCAAAAAATATTTTCTTATTTGATTTAAGTCACAGTATTGTGACATTTATAAGCGATTCTGTCGCTGCTATTTCGCTTGTATTGGAAAAACACTATTTGTTGTGTTTACATATTATTTAAATTATTTTTATTTCAATGTATATTTAATTTAAAGTAAATATAAGAAAAGGAATATATTAATATATTAATAGAGTATATGTACTTATAAATATTCACCTGTTACATGTATGGATAAAATGTGATGCTGGCAGTTAATTATTTTTAAAATCGGTACAAAAGGTATGGTTAAACTATTATAGTTATGCTGCATAAAAATTTCGTAGCGTTTTCTAGGGTATATTGATTATAGAGAGTGAAAGGATTTTTTTTACAATGTCCAGAAGATATTTTTTTGTGCAAAACAAAGCTTATGACATTTTTAATTGGGAAATCTAGACTTGTACTCGATTTGTCACTTCTTGCTTTAATTTTGTTGATCAAATGAACATATTAGGGCTAATCTTAAAATTTGACAACTACATGGATAAACCATAAACGCTTGGGACAACAATCGTATTTAAATCAAAAAAAAACACTCATTTATAACGGATGAAAATTCTATTTTGAAGTATATAGTATTAGTATATAGTAAGTTTGCACTCGGTTTGGTAGTTTGTATTTTAAATCTAATAATGTTAAAATATATGACTGACATAGAAAAAAATCGTAATAAAGCATAACACAATTGACAAATTGGAATAAAACAAAGTAATTATAACATTGGCTTTGTGCAATATAGTAGATTTCAGTACAGAACAACAATACAATAACAAAACATTTAATCAACTTAGCTAAACCTGCTTTTAAAATTCGTCAGGGTTCGTTTTTAAATTATTATTCTAAACGTTGCTGTATACTGTTTATTTCCAAATATCACTAAGGTATTTTTGACAATATCTAAAACAGTCATATGATTAGATAGAAACTGATTAAAAAATTTTTTTGTGGTTTTCTTCGCTATTTAAGACTTATCTTTGAGAAAATAGATTACTTTGCCATTATAGATATTAAATATTGTTGTCGTTATTGTAGGCCACAAGGATATATAAAAATAACATGAACAGAATCACAAAACGAGTATATGGGTTAGGATGTGATGGTATTGGTAGTGTGAGGTGGGTTGGGATTATTTACGAGTCATAACGCATTGAGGGAAATTTAATATGAACTCAATCAAGATCAATGTGTTTAAACCTAGTCACTTTTATGCGATAGGTACAAAGATAAATTGAATTGAAGTTTATATGAGCTTTGGGGCAAGAAAACAGATGGGGCAACATCATGGTGGATAGAGCTGCAGTTAGCGCACACAATGAGAACTGACGCATTTATGCATATCATCATAGTCAATTTTTCTATTGAACCACTTTTCTATAATACATAGAAGATATTTTTAAATATTTATACATATTTTCAAATATCTTTAATTATATTTTTTGAATAATTGTAACAAACAAACTATTCTAGTTTTGCAGAAATTCATATTTTACCAAAAATGAAAGTCACTCGTTTCATTTGTATATATTAAATATAATTTAACTTCAAAATATTTTTCGATTGAACTATACAAGTTTAACTATTGGATTTCAAATAAAGTATAATTTCGATCGATACGAATACCTATGTATAATATTTGTTCACTTGCTATTACATATAATGATTAATTCAGATAAAAAGACTAATTTGAAGTTTTTTTCAATCAATTGAAATTCCAATCAGAAAGATTAATTTAAATAGCACATCGATTATTACTTATAAAATAGAGAAAATTGCATATTTTAAGATAAATAAACGTTTTAAACAAATATATTATTGATATATGTCTATGTTAAACAAAATAAGTTAGAATTCGAAAAACATTAAAATAGAATATCTCAAAAGAGTTTAATATTGTATATATTTTAACTAGCACTATTTAAAAAAAAAAACTTAAATTTTGATACACTTTCTGAGCAACAACATCCTCGCTCCCTTTACACCCTCTACATAAATTCTCATGCGAAATCATTCGTTATCTTTTATGTATTGCGAATTTTTCCAGGGACATAGTTTTTATCAATAACATTTTCCTGCAAAAACATATGCAAGCATCGTTCATTTTGCGCCAACGGATGTCCGGCAATTTTATTGATAAACGCTTCGAGGCCTTTTCGTCGCTCTTCTATGAAATTTTCATCGAAAATGCCTTCATCGCCTCGAAATGGCATTTGTCGTTTCCAGGCTTTGCCAGGCAATGGTGGTACAACAATCTGCAGAACAGACAAAATTATAAAGATTAATTTTTTAATTTTAAAAATAATTGGTCTCATATGCATACACACACACACCTTACTATCACGTTCCAATTCATTTCGGAGCCATTCAAAGTCACTATAACGTCGTCGTACGCTGGATTCTTTGACTTTAAAAACCGGTAAATTTGTCTACAAAAATAAAACAATAGTCAAAAAGTTAATCTTTAACATTTAAAACGTTTTTAAATTTTTAGTGTTTGCCAAAAAGCAATATATAAGCAATTTTCTTAATGAGGTTTGACCTCATTAAGAAAGTGAAAGAATGTCATTCCAAAGTTGCTTGAGACATTGAAGCGCATTATCAGTGCAACACATCCGCAGGCAAGCAAAATAAAAATAAAAATAAAAAAACTAAAACAAAATATAAAAAAAAATAATAATAATAATGTAAAAAAATTATCAATACAAGACGTGCGAGAAAGAATATGTGACTAACCGTTTTGGCACGTCGGTCAATGTTCTAACAAAAATTTATCAATATATTATGCCTCATCGACGCCCTATAATCAATTTCATTTTAAAAACGGCGATAATCTTTAATTAGATTTATTTATTTTTAATGCAATTGAAGCTCTTCACCGCCCTCATTTTTCTATTAACTATGCATTTTATTTTTATCGCAAACTTGTTTCTAATAGAAAAATTACTACACACTTACCCTCATGCGGACTTCATAGTCGGTGTAACGTTTCTTTCCTGCAGCCATCGTAGTTAGCGGATTAACCACGTCAATTTCGAGAAAGTTTGCTGGCACTGCGTAAGCATCGTCCAGTGTTTGTTTTTTGGCATTTAGTCGGCGAGTTGCGTCAGTAGTGCTTCCGTCCGATGATTCCACCATCATTTCAGATATATACAAATATATTTATTATTTTTATTCAGTTTTACACGCAATTAAGTCCACGTTTAATATCCAGAAACTATTTCTTTGTTTTTTTCCAGTAATTTCAACAATTAACTCAACATTTACGCCCAGATTTTGTATCCAAATTGTATAGAATATTTTTCACATATAAATTTGTCTAATTTATTATTGGAATTAAAAACTTCTCAATTAAATAGTGCCAGATTTTTATGAGGAAATTTCTTTAATTTTCTACGTTAACTGTTAAAACAAGAAACAAGTAATCAAATATCGCTTTTCCACTTTTTTTCTTCTTTGCGTTCCGACATCACTTCTTGCCTACTTGGTGCAATATTATTTTCTTTTTTATTAGTTGTTTTTCTAGAAATATATTTAGCAAAGTATGCAGATATTTGAATGGATTAATATTTCAACACATTCACAATAGAAAATTGCTATGAAATGAAACTCATGTACAAAATAAATCCATTCCAGTATGTATCTGGCAAAGAAAATCGCATTTCATATAAGAGCCCCCTAGTATATATAATAATAATTTATTTTAATTAACTGAATTTTTGGCAGACCATACTGCAGCTTCGAGTTTTAAAAAATACCCATTATCAGTATTATTCGTAAATATTTTTTTAAGACGGCAAATACCAGGAATCGAACTCATGTCCTGTCAGCGCAATTTTAAAGCGTGATTTTTTAATTCCTAACAATGTAGTCAGTAGGAATAGAAACATATATATTATATATAATGCTATTTTTATTGTCTTAAGCAATACAATAGAAAAATTGTAATCAAATTTAAATAAAAAGGCACTTAAACTTATCACTTAGTTTTTACATTATCGTTTCGGGTTTTGTTACATTGTTACATTTTTTAATATATTGTTGAGCAATCAGCTGGAAACGTTATTATGAAAACCTGAATTGTTATTTATAAATAAATATTAAAAAATTTATTATTTTTCTCTAGAAGAAACAATACATTTTTTTGGGAACTTCAAATTGGAACAAAATTTTATGTCCCTTCTAGAAAATTTAAAAGCATATGTGTATGCACATATTGTTCAATATGAATACGTCTGTATAAATTAGTTGGGGGTTGGTAGCGAAACCCGCAGGGCAGCAGAGCCCGCTAGCATATATAATAGTCCACAGTCATAAAAACGACTAAAATTGAATATATATACTAGCTGGTTTAATGTAAAATTTTAAAAAATTTGGTTTTTAATTCTTACCAATATAGTCAGTGGGAATAAGAATCTGTGTTACTCTAGTTTTATTTGAAAGCACATACATATATTAAATTATATGACCCTTAATTGAAAAGTACTGAAACACGTAAAAATTACATTATTAGATTATTAGATTATTGTTTGTTCGCGAAATGATGTACAATTACTTTTTTTTAGAATTAATTAAAAATTTAATCTCTTCACATTCTGTGCAAAAAGTATCACCACAAAAAATCACCCAATCGGTATTTATTTTATTGCGCTCAGAGTGGGCCTCTGAGTACACACAACTATGTTACCTGCGGTTGACCCAATCTTCCAAGCAATCTTCTACTCAGTCGTAGACTGAGTAAAGGATCAAAATAAAACCGTTAAATCGAAATAACCGTTAAATGTCGATCATATTTTTATGATCTATTTTAAATGTTAACATCTCTGATGTTTATAAGATTTTGTTAAGCATATGAGTATTGACGACATGCCACTCTTATTATAGCATTATCAGTAAATATTAATGCTTTGTTATGGAAGAGTATACATTAAACTTCGTAATTTATATTACAGTGATAGTATTAAAAAAAATTTAAAACAATTAAAAAATAAGTTATTTTCATCAGCATTCAGTATTGATTGGGATTATACCTGTTTTGGACGTAAAAATGTACTTTACATGGGCAGAAACTTATATTGTCTGTATGATTATGTGATTTTGTTAAGCCATTGCCCATTAAAGTCTTTAATTAAATTTGGTGAAATATTTTTGACTCAATTGTTAGAAGTGTCCAGAGTGTTGTTACCATAAGTAATTTTTCCGATATTAGGACTTCTTTTAATTTGTTTAAACACCAATTACTTGCTATAAAATCTATATGATCCTTCGATTTCGCAAATTGTTCAGAAGTAAAAAGATTTAGAATTTTATTGTTAATAGTATCTTTTCGACGTCAGTATATTAATATAATTTTTACATAATTAATTAGCAATTATATTTTGTCCCAGATTTGCCGAAAAATAATTTTCAACTATTTAACGGGTGCTCTAGAACTATTTCACGCTATTGCAAATCTAAACCTTATGTGGCCGGTATAAAGCAATTGTATCATACTTACCATTACCTTTTTTGATATTTTCTATGTAGCTTCAAATATTGATTTTTGCTTAATGCGACGTGAATACATTTCTATTATTTTTAAAAAATGCATTGCATTTGAGTAAATTCGTTATTAGGGAGTTAGATATGATATAAGAAGAAAGATATGATATAAAATTAATTTTTCTAATAAAAACCAAAATATCAGCTGTTACGAATATCCAACTTTTATACAGGGATAAAAATTCCGTCGAGTGCGTTGGCATGGAAAGATATTGACTTATTAAATAGAAGAGTTTTTTAATATGAAATATATGCGTGGTTAAAAAAATTGACGATTAAGAGGAATTTATTATAGAGAAATTCTTAGACTTATTTACAGCGGAGTCTAAGATGTGTGATTCCTATATGCCTTTTCCTAATTCGAAAAAGAATTTTGGTAATTAACAATATTCAAAACAATGTTTTCCTCTTATGCTAAAGGTCAATATAGCTTAATTCTAGATATATCAGATTTTAAGGTAAGACATATACACAATGTACGCAATAGCACTAAGCAGACTTTGCATATTACTAAGATTTGTTAAAATTCTTTATTTTTCCTTATTCCTTATACTTTCTTTAAATCGTGGCGCGGGGGATAGTCAAATCTCTTAGTTTTCGTATTAAAGAAGTACGATTGTGTATAAATGTGAATATTCTATATAAGTACGTTCGCATACACACATAAATAATATTAAAAATTTATAAAAAAAATTGTTAATAAACCCCTTAAAAATAAAAAATGAATTATTTATTTATATTGTATCAAAAGTTTGATATTTTATTTCGATTCGTTCATATTCACCTAAAAATTATATAAAATTACAAATAATATTTTGTTTATTTATATATCTTAATTATTTTAAAAATATTTTAACAATAATAAAATCAAACATTTTAAAAATATTTTAAATTTCGAATCATTTCAAAAAGTTTTCAAATATAGATATATTTATTTAGTAAAAATATTTAATTTTGAAAACATGTTAAAATGGTTCAAAATTTAATATTTGTCAAATTTTTATTAATAAGATTGCACACTATGAAAACATAGAATATAGAAAATAAGAAAACATAGATTTTAAAATTTTGATTTTTCAAAATTTACATACAAATCCTTTCGTTGGCATTCGGTGTTTTAAGGACGAATTTTTAATTTGTGATTGTTTGTTATATTCTTGGCGTTCTTTTTTAACGTTATTTGAAAGTAATACTAATAACAATATGAATTAATAAAACTAATGCATAATTTTTGGTTCTATTGCACGTTCCATGCAGCAGTTTAACTGAACTGAGAACGGAGTGAAATTGTTCTCACGGTCATGCTAAGTACACTTCACTTACTTACATAAAACATATCCTATACGAATTGTCTACAAGCTAGTAACACCTATGATGATAATATCTACAAATACGCGTTGTGTTCTACAGACTCTATATATCTACACTAAAAAAACTAAATAATTACCCCACAATAAATTCACAAATTGTAAAAATATTAATTGTATTTTGTTCAGACCCCAATAAGAAGAGCATTGACCAAAAACTCAATGCAGTGTTGTTGAAGAGAAACGTATCCTTTTCGAGTTGTTTGTGGACATCGTATAGTTTTATTCCAGTTTCTGAGCAGCTTTAGCTTTAATGGCAGCTTCTTTATTGTAGTTTTTAATATAAAATGAAGAGAACATATAAGTAAATAGACCGGCGTTAAAGGTGAGTAGTGCAGCAATAGATTTCGGGAAAGAGCAATTGGGTTGAAATTGGATTTGTAATGTGTGTACGAAAATGATTAGAAATTGAACCTATTCGAATATAAAAAGAAGTAGTGTATAGTCTTTGAGTAATATTATGGATATTTCAAATTCAATTACAATTTGTAGAATAGTGATATATTTTTTCCACCACAAATACTTTTGTACTTTGGGACCCATAGCAGAGAGCAGGTAATAAGCATACATAATTATATGAATGAAAGAATTGATGAAACCGAGTAAAGTTCCATGACCACCTGTAAAATAGAACATCAAAAGTTTATTTATTTTTCATTTTTTTTTTAATTAAAAAAAAAATACATCGATTATATGTATTTTTCTTACCAGCGAAGTACTTAACGCCAACAAATGCGCAGACTGGCATTAAAGTGTGGTGATATAAATGAAGGAATGAAATTTGACGTTGTCTTTTACGTAAAACAAAGAACACAGTATCCAGCAGTTCAGTAATTTTAGCAATATAATATAACCATACAGCACGTGCCATCTATAGATATTTTAAAAATTATATAAAAAGGTTAAAATATATATGTTTCATTTTCTAATCCTACCCGCATAGATGTTGGATCTGTGGCATAGGTTACTGGTTGACAACGGAAATTATAATGACCACCCCAACCGCCTTTATAACCCTGTTGTAATTTAAGAATAATTATAGTTAGAAATAGCATTATTGACATAGTATACATATTTATATGATATTTCACATAGGTTACTTCTCTTAATAGTTGCTTATAACACAAGCTTTAATCCAATACAAACCTCATAGAATAGCACCCAACTTAATATAACCTGTACGGCATTATATACTACTAATGTGTTTTTCAGTTCATACGGTTTACGGTCACGCATATAGCGTGGTCCGGCATATAGGCAGAAATATAAGTACGCTCCTAGTATCATAAATAATGGTCCCGGTGCATTTGAGAGAAACCACGTTTTTGTTCGCATATCTTCATGCTCCACAAAAAAGTTGACCATTCGATCAACAATGGTATTCGTTTCATTCATTCTTAGCGACATTTTGTTTTTGTTAGAGTCTGAAAATAAAATGAAATAATTTTAAATCTCAAAATAAACATATTAAATTTTTGAAAAAAATTCTCTTTTAATATATTATTATACATATAAATTATTTACATACTCGTATAATATTTAATTAAGTTTTTACTATAACTATATCAAAACGCATTTATTATAGGAACTTATTATAGTAAACTTATTTATTATTGTTATTATAATTATTAGTCGTTTTGTTATTATTATTAATATGCTAGTCACATAATCGTACTAAGAAACATAGATTTCTCTGACTGTTTTTTCCAGAACTGTTTTTGATAAATCATCTGACTATTATTATAAACCTTAACATATATTAAGTTAACTACATCGATTTCTGCCTCACTGTAGATAACTCTTAAGGTGTTAACCCTTCGTCTAAAAGTGATGTAATAAGGGTCCAATCTTTTAGAAATCCGATAGAAATTTCTATTGCTGGACTAAGATATCCTTCAGATTAGTAGCATTATCTATTACTAATGATCTAGTAGTATCATATCTACCAAACAATAAAGCAATTAATAAAACAGAACAGTACATTGGCATTGTTCTTTTTTAAACGGAGGAAAGTATTGTTTCTTTATGGCATTATTATGGCTAGGGTTGCTTTGGTATATGGATAAATTGTTTACTCTGCCAGTCCTTATATGCATTTTGTTTTTTGTATAAGAAAAGTGCCTCATGACTAGATATTATTGCAATATTATTTAAAACAGTAATGCCATGTTTGACTACCTCATAAACTCTAAATTCTCGGTACACATATCTGTAATAGATATGAACGGTATAACGCCACTGATCTTGAAGACAATACGCTTGTCTTTGGAACATAGACATCGTTATATAATGAGATGGACTTAATAATAATAAGTTATGTATTTTAGTTTATTAAATATATTTATATTGAATATATTATTTTATAGAATAGATTGATTTTTGTTAGTTAAGGATGGATTTTTTTTGTTGATTAAAGCTATGGAAAGCGTTCAAAAATGTCCCTTTTTCTTTCGTTATTTATTTCTTTTTTTTAATTCTCCTTATAAATGTTTATGCACTCACCTCGAATTAACGGAAAAAAATTCCATTTTTAACTTGCCAAAAATTAATTTATTTTCAAAATTAATCTATTTAATTTATCTATTAAAAAACAAATAATTTAGTTACTTTGCGGCAATTTTCCAAATAAGTATTTTATTTTCTATAAATCAAATTAATACGAAAAAGTACCGATTTTATTGCATTCGATATTTTATTTTTCATCAAACAATTTAAGATAAAATATATAAAATCAAATGAATTGCAAAAAAATTTATTACATTAAAATTTAATAAAACAAGAGGTATAGCTTTCTTGCCTCAGGAAAACTACAACACGTTGCAGAAGTGATGTATTTGGGGTGCTGATAGAATCATGACGGTGCTGTTTGGATATTTGCTACCGTGTACTTCATAATGCATAAAATATGATATAATGTTCCTAAAATGTATACAATTTAGATTTTGTTACATGTCAGTATTCATTAAAATGATTAAGCATTACCGAATGCAATATCGAAACAAAATATACAAATGAACCGCAAAGTTCACAGAGAGGCTATTGTATGGACACACCACGTATTAACCAGTAACCGATAAATACACTTGACATCGATCATTGGGATTACAAAATTTCTGATTACTATCCAATTGCAATATAATAACGATTAATGTTATTGTTAATGTTATTGCAAATTTTTTTATCTTTTCGATATGGTTGCACCTCACCATGTTCAATTTTATCTGTTTGCATGAACAAAAATTATATTGCACGTGTGCTGTAGTGAATTGCAGTTTCATATTTTTATGATTTTCCACTTTATTTTGCTTAATTTAATTTTTTTTTTTTTGTTAACAATAAGATATAGATATATATTCGCACTTTTGCTCCAAACAAAGTTTCAAAAAATTGCAACTGCCCAGTTTAGTTTCAATCAAAAATTTATCCTTGGGTTGAACGAAAATGGTCAGAGTTGAATGTTCATGGATGAATTGCATGGATGAACTGTACTCTGTCGATGATAGTTCACTTAAATCAACAAAATAAAAATCGATTTTAGTTTTCTTATAATGATTACTAAATCCAAAAACGAGAAGAAAATTTAAGAGCATGAAATGCTAATGCATTTTGACATTGTTCCACTTAATAAATGCAAGAAAAGCGAAAGATGTAAGAGTTAATTGGGTCAATGGCATGCCGGTTTAACATTTTGTCCATCAAAAATGCAGGTAACTAAACTGCATGAAATAACATGTGTATATATGTTCAAAATACAAAGATACATTTTTGCTACAATAAGAGTTGAATAACTGAGGTATATTACCATTCTACACGCAAGTGCATTTTTCTTGAGAGCAATTGTATTTTTATGGATTATACGAAGGGTCATGTCAATAGTTTGATTAATATAAATATGATATAATAAAATCTGTACATTATATAGATACGTTATTGTTTTACATAATTTAATTCCTTAAAGAGGTTTTTTCGAACAATAGTGAAATACAACAACAAAAATTTATTTTTTATATTATTTTAATTAATTGAATTTTTGGCTGACCATACAGCTGTTTCGAGTATTGCCAAATACCCATCATCTGTGGTCTTGGAAATAATTCTTGTATTTAATTATTCGTAAATAATTATTTTTGAGACTGCAAGTCTCAAACCAGCTGTAGAATAATTGAATTAATTAATTAATTATAATTTTATTTTCAATTGTTAAATTTCAATACTATTCTGTTCGTAGAGGCATTATTTGTTGTATGATTTGTTCTTTCTTATGTATAGAACCTAATCTAGGAACGTAATGCTGAGAAAGTCATACTAATGTTACTCCACTAGTTACTTAAATAATTGTATTGATTTTTTTATCACAAGCTAAATAACTTTTAGAGATCTAACACATTCAAAATTAATTCCATATTTTTCTAGAAGTTGTCCAATATATATTATTTTATACTGGATTAACACGCGAGTTTTGTTTGTAATTTTAGTTGTCAAAAATTTTCATTTTGCATTAAAAGCAACAACAATTGACAGCTCTAAAATTATAAACAAAACTCTCATGTGAGTCCAGTATTAAAAGTAATGGATGGTAGTGTTGTTCACTTTATTCCAATAATTTGATAATTGAACTATTCAGCCAATACGAAGATTCGAATAATTCATTATCCATTTTGCAACGAATAGTTCGAATTATTCTATATTTATATATTGAAACTATTAAAAGAATTCGAATTGTTCATATACGAAAAGCACGAGTATTTAGATATATAATTAACACTTTTCTCATATGAAATGGTATATAGTTTATGTGAAGAAAATAAATCCAATTCAATAATTAATATTAATTATTGTATCAAATTGTGCAAGCTAAATAGTCGCTGAACTATATACCTATATAAATCTATATAGATATAATTATATTTATATAGCTCTATATATCCAATACATTATTTATAGTAATTCACTAAGGTGAAATTAATTTAAAAAATTTATGTATTTCAATTTTAAGTAGAGTTTCAATCACTTATAACTTTCTGCAATTGTTTAATATGTAGTCTTATTGGAGATTAATTATTACAGTAGTTAAAATGATTCCAATTCAATAATTAATATTAATTATTGTATCAAATTGTGCAAGATAAATAGTCGCTGAACTATATACCTATATATATCTATATAGATATTTATATCTATATATACAATAGATTATTTGATTCATTAAGGTAAAATTAATTTAAAAAATTAATTTCTTATAACTTTCTGCAATTGTTTAATATGTAGTCTTATTGGAGACTATTAATTATTACAGTAGTTAAAATGAATAAAATTCTTATTTGCAATAAGGAAATATTTCAAATAAAATAAATAAGTTTATTATATTTTCCGTGTTAATAATAAATTTTTATATTATTTAATTATTCAGAAATTGACTTTATTTCCAGAAAAAAATTTGGCGATAAACTATTTCATTCCGCGTTACACCTTTTTAAGTGAAGTCTTTTTTTTTGTACACATTTATTTGCTTTTCTAAAAACCATAAAAATTAATAAACAAAAATTGTTTTACCAATGAAGCCTAAAATTTATGGTTTTTCTATCTTTCGCATATTTTCTATTTCTTCCCATCGTATTCATTTTTTGTATAATAAATTGGCCTCTTTGATATTATGTTAGTAAGTCACTAAACAAAGAACAAATAAATAATATATAGTTAAGTAATATATGTATATTTAAGATATATATATTTTTTTTTGTATGTACTCGAGGCCAAGAAGTGTGAAATCTTCTACTACTTGCTTTCATTTTTCGATGTTCGATTCTTTATCTTTTAAGTTGTTTCAATATTCAAATTGTTCACTTAAGTAACTATTATACTGAGTTTTGGGTTTGTTAATTCTAATCAGAAATATGCTAATTAATTTGAAAAAAATTAAATTATAATTTCTTAAACTTGTTAAGAAAGCATGTTTTATGCTTTTGCTAAAAAACTAAATAAATCCTGTTAGTCTTCATTTTTTTTGCATAATTTGCAAAAATTAAAATATATTTCCATCGTACGATTTTGCAAGAATTTTAATCTCTTTTTATTTTAAAAGTAACATAAAAAAATTTCAATGTCACTGGTTTGGTATTATTGTTCTTGTATTGTACGAGTATTAATAAATTATTTATATTCCGACAGACATTATAAATAAAATGTTTTACATAATAAAAGTCATTAATTTAAACTTCCGTCTGAAAATTTTCCAATAGATACGGATTGGACTTTGCAAGTGTGATTTTAGTGTGAGATATAAAAACTATTTAATAAATTTTTAAGTAATTAAGGGAAATTTAATTTGATTGAAATTAGTTTTAACATCATTTTTTGTATCTAATTTTAATCTTGTTATATATTTCTTAATATATTTTTCTTTAAAAAAAAGGAATTCAACATT